AATTATTACCCCCGGAAAAGCCATACGCCAATTGACTAACAAATGGGTTCCTACTTACTGCTAGGTAAACAGTGGCTTGTGGATTAAGGAAACTTGCACACGTTTCGCCCTGTTGGGAATCGAACCCAGACGAGTGCTCTAACAACTAAGCTACAGGAATCCACTCACAAAAATAAGCTTCTGCCATATCCTTGTGTTTTCCAAGCTCCTTGCTTCTACCATAAAGCAAATCCCATCCTAGTGTCCTATTCTATTGGATAAGATGTCCACAAAATGAAAGGATCAACAATTAAAGTAATACAATTGCTGCCACTCGAAGCTTCGAAAGAGATGTAAGGAAATCTAGAAATTGAGGCTATTTGGCCCATTGCCCTGTGCTATTGCAACCTGTATGTCAAAGTCACCCTTCATTGTTAAGATCGTTTTCCAGCTCCCTCCCCACCCCATCTCTGTGTCCCTTAATGTGATTCAGCAGCTGCCACTTCATCACAAATACGAACGCAAGTAATTTCACATCATCCACCCAGCTTCATCTGGTCAACACATAAAAGCCTGAGGTGGAAGGCTAGAAGTGGAAGGCAAAATGAACTGCAAATTAGTAGCTGTTGGGAAGCAGAGCTACTGTATTTGTGCTCCTTGGTGCTATTTTTAGCTTCTTTTGCTCGCATTGTTTATGTGGAATAAGTGCCTGTCAATCGGGCTAGACCTGACTTGCTGGTTTAAATTTCAACATTGAAAGCTCTGTACTTCACTGATTGCTTAACAGTAGCCTGCTGGGTCTTTGATAATAAATCGATTTCACACTGTGTCCAAAGTACAAAGACTTTGGGTATTTTGCAGATATCAGAAAATAGAGATTTTTAAAAAAAAAATTGCAATATTTATGAGAATCTCAAAACACTCCAAGTTAATTGCTGGCTCAGTACAGGGTCTGTTTTTTTCTAAGCAAACACATCAGCAATATTCCACAAACAGCCATGAAGTGAACGACCAATTTTATCTGGGTGATTGTCTGCCTGGAAACTGGGGGAGAAACTCCTGTTCTCATTTTAAATAATAATAATAATTAAAGCTACCCCTCGTGAAGGGCGCTATATAAATGCAAGTTGTTGTTCTAATAATCCTTGCATTTGATATAGCACCCTATCACGTCGTTGAAATTTCTGTATATTCTGTGAGTGAAACACGGCAGCCAATTCCGCACAGCAGTGTCCCACAAACAGTCATGCAGCCATACCCCAACATACACTCTGGGGTCTCCAAGCTTTGGCTCTTGCCAACCTGCGCCTAATACTTTCTGGAATTAGGTAAGCAACAACAACTTGCATTTATATAGCGCCCTTCACACCAGGTCGTGTCCCGGAGCGCTTCACAGTGGTGAAATCTGTCATCTAAGCGGAATGTGCATTCCATTTTAATAAAATCATCTCGTGTGTAGGTGGGATGCATGGAATATTCAGCTTGGTTTGGATACTCTTAAGTATGGTGATGGCTTTCCACACGTGCGCTTAAGCTCCGCACCTCCAACTGGTAGAATCAATGCTCAATGGGAAGGGATGTGTGTGTCCGAGGTGGGATGCATGGAATTCTGAGCTTGGAAAACCAAGCAAAAAAAACACATGTGAGGGACTCGTAAATGTTAAGTGTATTCCATTCCTCAATTATTGTCAGAGATAATTAAGGAACACTTTACTCCTGCTCGATGTCCATCTATTTTATCCCTTCTCGTCATCCAGCCTCACCATAGCACAGTGCTCCATAAACTTATTTGTGAGGAATAGATATAAATGTTAAGTTGTTGTTTATTCACTGGATACTGTCCTTAGTGACAAATTTGAAACTAAACCCAGGCCACACTCACTCTATGCGTGAAAGTCTTTAAATCATGGGAGCAAAAGCTTGACGAACCAGGGTTACCTCTTCAGCAAATGTAACATTTTGGGACAACAATAAATATAACTTGCAAATGCTGAAATCTCATTCATAGATTTCTCCCTTCTTTGCTAGATGCTGATTTGAAAATCAATGTTACAAGTAGCATTTTAGAGTGAGAAAGTTGTCCTAAAGCTGTCGAAGAATCAAAATCTCCGTCCTCACCTAAGATGCAAAAAATAAAAATTTTCAGCCATCCAATTAACTGTGGCAGATATCATTCTCCCGAAGCCAAGGAAACATTCGGTCCCAAACTCGACACTAAGGATAGGTCATAAAAACACATTTCAACTGAAATTTCTGTCCATCCCTTAACTCTATTGTCAATGATAATTAAGGCATGGAGGAAATTTAAAATTTAAGAATACCATAATTTTGACTCCACCTGGCAATGTGTTGAGGTTTCAATACAGTTTTATTACAAGAGGGGGTAAAAAAAACATTTACAGCGTGGCAGGAAGCAAATAGATTAGGCCATCTCTGCCAGTGTTAATTGGGAAAGACAATAATTCTAAATAACAGGTGGTGAATAAAGTAGGAACTTCACACCCTGGACAGATTGAGCGATGTTTTTCACACTTCTAAGGGTTAATGTTTATTTTGTAATGAAGATCCTGTTCAGCTTCAGGATGTAGAATTTTATCAGTTTCTGGCAACCAAAGAAATTTCAAAACCTCACATGCAGGTTATTGGTTAACCCTTTCACTTGTTGAACGGAAACACCAACAGAACACACATGAGCAGAGATTTACCATGGATTGTATCATAATATTGTAACTCACTACTCCTCGCCTGCAGCATCTACAACAGATTACATCTATTTCCTCTTTACGCGATCAGTAAATAACTGTTTGTGGTGAGGTATTATTGATGGGTAACCTTGGTGTTGACTTGCAATGTGGACTTACTTACCTTGACCTCAGTCCTCTGGCTGGTGTTGTTTAGGTTGTCTTTAATAAAACCTCATTTAAAGGCTCTGTTCTGTGGACATTCATTTATAATAAAATAATAATCCTTGCATTTGGTATAGCACCTTATTATGTCGGAAGGACATCTTAAACCGTTTCACAGGATTGTCTGTGAAATGGAATGACTATTTATTTGTAGGCAAACACTGCAGTATAATTGCACACAGCAATGTCCCACAAATAGCCATGAAACTAATCCCCTTTTTTCTTATTTGGGGTGTGTGTGGGAGGATTGTTGGCCAGGACACCGGGAGAAACTCTCTTCTCTTTCTAATAGTGTCATCTGATCAGTCAGACAGGACTTCAGTTTAACGTTTCATCTGAAGGATAAATCGCTTCACTGCAGTGCAAGTGCTGAGGGCAGGGGATCAAGTGCACAGGGGTGAGGGTTGCTGGGGCCTGAGCATTATTGTTGCAGTAATGAAGCTGGGAGCACTGGGAGCCAGGGATAATGTGATTTATGTGGATAAGAAATATGGTTCTCTGACACTGAGCTAAAAGCTTCTTGCATTTCTGTACCAAGTCCACTCAGTCTCCTTATCCCCTTAACACTCTATTAAGCCATTACTGAATGAGCAACAGTGTTTAATGGTGTTGAACAAGTATTAATGTAATAATAATCTTTGCATTTGATACAGCCCCTTTTCATGTCTTCGAGACGTCTTAAAGCGCTTCACAGGATACAGTGTAAACTGCAGTGACTGTGTGTTTTGTGGGCAAAACACGCCTGGTGGCTGTCAGCTTTAAATGTACTGTTTAAACAGTAAACATCTCAAGATGTAATTCACTGACCGCACCTTCAGTCATCTTTCCCCTTCCCCCGCAGCTCATGACCCCAGCTCGGGTGCCCAGCCAGCATTGTCCATTGATCTCCGGAACCAAAAAAGATGATATGAATGTAAATTGTATTGTACTGTAACACACAATGGTGATACAATGCAAGATGTAATAGCGTCACCAATGATAATTGTAATAATAATAATCCTTGCAATTAATATAGCGCCTTATCATGTTTGCGAGTCGTCTCAAAGCCCTTCGCAGAATATATTGTAAAGTGAATTAACTGTATATTTTGTGGACGAAACTACTGACTGCATCTTTGATCAGTATGAAAATGATCATAGGTGTCCTCTGGCAACACATTGGATAAGGTGATAAGGTCACATGCTGAGTTTCCCCTGCCCCAGTACAGACAATCCGAGAGTACAACAACAGCAAAATTACATTTCCATAGCGCCTTTCACGTCGGGAGGACGTCCCAAGACGCTGAAAGTATGGTAGAAACCCTGTTATATCATGCCTCTTTATAACGTGATTGGGTGGTGCACCCCCACCATATTCTTCACTACAAATCCAAAATCCTGACATTGTCACATTCAAATCCGTCACCGCCTTTCAAATCGCCCTTGAAAACCTGTCATCGCAGGATGTGTTGTGACTGGCAACAACAGGATTTCATGTGCGATGGAGCCGGAAAGCTTTCTGTAAGTATGAGCAGCGACGTCCTGATGCCAAGTGACCAGCGGTCACACTGGATTGCTTCTAGTTATAAGACAGGTTGATTATTATTGATCCTCGGTTGGAATTTTAAAGATCCTCAGCGGGAATGTTCTGGGTTCTTTTCCCCCCCTCCCACCCCCCCGCCACCTACTAAACAACAACAACTTGCCCTTATATAGCGCCCTCCACGCAGGGTAGCGTCTCAGAGCAACAGTAGCGGAGCCTGACTACGAGCCGGAGGCCGATGCCAGTCGAGAGGAGGCGGTGGATGGTGGATTGGGGAGTGAGGAGGTCGGAGAGGTAGGGAGGTGCCACGGAGTGAATGGATTTGAACACGAGTGAAGTCGAAACTACCATGTTACAATAGGATTCTTGTTAGTTGCAAAGTTGGCACAAAACCACTAAGTAATTATTGGATTCACTGTTATCTGCGCGTCTAGCTCTTTAAAAGGTGTCCCCTCTTGCTCTGGATATTGTAAAATGTTTGCAACACTACTTTACAACGACCGGTTCCCCAGTGTATTGCAAGAACGAAGGCTCCTAGCCTGATATAAATATGCAGTCCAGTGTGATGATGATTTTTGTAGCCAATTCTCTTACCTTACACGGGGGACGTCAATGTTTGAAGAGACAACTTTTCGCTTTTGATCTGAGATGACAGCCACCGGGCGCATGTGATCCTTCTCGTGCTCCTGAAGGCGGCTGACCTTTTTGGTTTCCAGTATTTTCATGGCCTCGATCTTCCTCACCAGGTGCAGTTGCTGTTCCAATAGCTTCTGGTGGCTCTCGTTGTGGGTGTGATCATGCAGGGATGCAAGGGAAGGAATATCCCGGCCATTGCAATTCAGCTGCAGGAAAAATAACAAAACGCTATTTATTTAAATATTTTGATCCATCCATCAGCAGCAGTAAAGACTCCAAAATATCTTTATAATAATAATACTTGCGTTTGATACAGCGCCTTATCAAGTTCTTGAACCGTCTCGCAGTGTTTCACAGGATATATTGTAAAGTCAATTGACTGTATATTTTGTGGGCGAAATAATACATAATAATAATAATCCTTCCATTTTATATAATTCCTTATCAAGTCGTCAGGATGTCTCAAAGGGCTTCAAAGGTTTTTACTGTAGGCAAATGTGGCAGCCAATTTGTGCATAGCAATGTCCCGCAAGCAAGCATGAAGTGATTGACATGTTTATCTCCTGATGGCTCTCGTTGTGGGTTAGATCTTGCAGGGTTGCAAGGGAGAGAATGTCCTGGCCATTGCGTTTAACTCCCAAATATAGGATGGAAATTTGCAACACTTCAGAACTGATTCAGGGCCCGCAATTTTTGTCTCAACATTTGTAGTTGTAGCTGGAAGTGTTCCGGTATGCTACCCTGCATGAAGGGCACGATATAAATGCAAGTTGTTTTTGTTATTAATGGAGAAATTTGGAGAGTAAAAATAATGCAAAATAATACAAAATCCTAACAAACGTCTTATTGTTTTTTTTTGTTGTGTCCAAATTCCTGCGTTACCACTGTAAAAACCTTAATTTGTCCTCATTACAACAACAAAATTACATTTGTATAGCACCTTTCACGTTGGGAGGACATCTCAAGGCACTGGACAATCAGTGTTTCGGACCCGAGCTGGGGGTCAGGATCGGGGAGGGTGGAGGGTGGGGTGGAAGGAAGTTGATCGAAGGCACGGTCGAAGAGGAGGGTCTTGAGATGGGTCTTGAAGGAGACAAAGGAGGGGGCGAAGTGGAGGGATTGCGGGATGGAGTTCCGGAGGGTGGGGGCAACAACAACCACAACAAGATTACATTTGTATAGCGCCTTTCACGTCGGGAGGATGTCCCAAGGCACTGGACAGAATATACTGTAAAGTGAATTGACTGCATTTTTGTGGGTGAAACGCAGCAGTCAATTGCGCACGGCAGTGCCCCACAAACAGTTGTGGATTGAATTGACCAAATTATTATTGTTTTTTTTCTTGAGGGATTATTATCAGGCGTGTGGACTAAGGAAACTAACCAAGGTTTTGCCCTGACGGGAATCGAACCCAGCTCTCTCACTAGACCAAGGAATTCAAAATATTAATATAAAATCTAAAGAGAAAGAGCCCATTAATTGACTGGTGAGATGTGCAGCTTATTTGAATTGGACTGCGTGGAGTCCTGCAGCTCAGTGGTTAGAGCACTCGCTTTGCAAGCGAGAGACCTGAGTTCAATTCCAGGCAGAGGGCGAAACCTTGGGCAAGTTTCCTTACTCCACACGCCTAATAATAATCCCTCCAAAACCAAAAACAATAATAAAATTGGCATTTTCAATCTACGACTGTTTGTGGGACATTGCTGTGCGCAATTGGCTGCCGCGTTCGCCCACAAATTTACAGTCAATTCACTTTACAGTGTGTTCTGTGAAGCGCTTTGGGACGTCCTTCCGACGTGAAAAGCGCTATATCAAATGCAAGGATTATTATTATTATTATTATTAAGGCATAAACCAGTGAGTTTGCGTCAACACTGGAGGTTGAGGGATGAACATGAGGGAAGCGGGGAGGGGGCTGGGTTTGATGGAAATGGGAGGTCGATGAGAGTGAGATGATGGAGGGAGAGAGAGAGACATGACAGGGGGGAAGAAAAGAGATTTTAGAAAGAGGCAGGGAGATTATGGGGGGAGAGGGAGATGTGTGCATTTTGCCCACTGGCCGGTCATAGCCACCCATTGTTGGTGAAGGCCGACCGCAGTTCTGTTCTCTCGGCAGAGTGGCTGAAGGACCGCCTGCCAATGATGGGCCAGGCAGGCGGGGGACATGAAATATGCCAGTCAATGTACTTGTCACAAATACTGTCTGAGAAACTGTGTACTAGAGTTACTGAGTGGCACCATTCTGGGAGTTAATCCGTCTGCTCTAGAGATCACAATGCCTTGATATTTATGAGCACCTATGTGAACCAAGTGGTTACCCCGATATAAATAACTTCATTCAAATTATCAATGCAAGGATGAGAGGTGACATAACGCACATTAGAATGGTATCGCTATCTTGAACTTCATCTGGCACGTACAAAAAGAGCAATAAAGCCTTTTCAGATGCAATGCACTTCCAGTTGCTGTATACTGTCGCTCAATAACAAAGGTTCTTTTAAAATTTAAATGAAGATAATCCTGACATTCGTCAATTTAATAATAATAATATTCCTTGCATTTGACATAGTGTCTCATCGTGTCATTGAGATATTACAAAGTGCTTCATAGGATGTATTCTAAAATGGATTTACTGTGTATTTTGTAAAACATTTTGGCAAAAAATAGTTTACTGGTTTGTGTTGGGGTGGGTGGGTGAACACAAATACTGTAGCTCACGAGGTTTGTGAGCTAGTATTCTATAATGCAGCAGACGGCAACACTATAATACCACCTCTCCATCACCACAACAAGCCGAGGTGTGAATCAGATCTATGATCTTCAGAATTATAATCAACTCAGATTTTGAATTTTTCAGTTTGAAGGTTTATCCATGTTTCTTTTTAATTTTTCCTAGCACTTGTGCTTAGCGTATTACTTCTGTCATTTAAAAAAAATGTTAATACAGGCAACTCTATTCTGCAATTAGTTATTTTAGTTCAATTGAATACAAAATCCTTTATAAATAAAAGATGGAATCCTTCCATCTTCTGAAAGAGATGTAGAGCACGGCTGGCTATGTGGATACATACTGCTGTAATTGCAAAGGATGACTTGCTAAAGACACTCCAGTTAAAAAGGTCGCTCAAACTACCAAGGTTCAGAACTAGTTCATAGAAGTCAAAAATTATAGCAATCAAATTGTGTGTAAGCCTTGAAACAAAGAAAGAGCAGGAAGACCCTTTGGCTTGTGACAATCTCACATCTTACTTTTCCTCCCTAAACCCTCTTGATATTGAAATCCAAATTCATTGCCACCATCTCGTACTTGCTCTCGTTCATTCCCCTGAACTCCTCATCTCCCTGCCTTCAGGGTTTCTTTTTGAAAAACACCTTAATATTATTTAGTCACTAAATCTTATTTTTTCTCATCTTCTCTCTCCATTTAAACCCTGGTAATGTCCTGCACTATGAGCTTGCATTGACCTAAAATATCTTCATTTAAAAAAGTAACGCAAACAATTTATATATCCCAGCTTCCTTCTACTGTATAATGTAGAGCTCTATTGCAATGAGTTCCAGGCTGTCGCACTGTTGTGGTTCTGATAATGATAATAATCCCTGCATTATTTGTAGCTCCTTATCCATGTTGCTCAGCTCTGAAAGTGCTTCACAGAGTTTGCTGTAAAGTGTAGTGACTGTGTATTTGTATATATCGCTTGACCTGCCCTATCATCGGTGGCCGGGTGTTCAGCCTCTCTGCCCCCACACTCTGGAACTCCATCCCACGCTCCCTTCACATCGCTTCCTCTCTTGACTCCTTCAAGGCCGGTCTCAAGACCTTTCTCTTCGACCGTGCCTTTGGTCTCCCTCCCATCTCTCTGCCTTCCCTCACCCCTACACCACCCCCATGCTCGGGCCCCGACACCTGACTGTTCAGCGTTTTGGGACATCCTCCCGACGTGAAAGGCGCTCTATAAATGTAATTTTGTTGTTGTTGTTGACCTGCAGCCCTGGTGACGAAACAGCTGAGATTGTTAACATGATCCTTCGATTGCATTGGAAACTGGTAACATAGCGCAGCTCGACAGTTATATAACATTTACTGAAAGTATCTCCCATTTGGATTACTCAAATGCGCTCCTCGCCGGTCTCCTCAGCTCCACTATTCAAAAAATCCAGCTCATTTAGACCTCTGTGGCCCGCATACTGGTCCGGACCAAACTCTGTACCCACATCTCACCAGTTCTGTCCAGGCTCCACTGGCTCCCCATCACTGAACAGATCGACTTCAAAATCCTCACACTCGTGTTTAAATCCCTTCACTCTCTGGCACCTCCCTACCTCTCCGACTTCCTCACTCCCCAATTCACCACACAGCGCCTCCGCTCGAATGGCAACGGCCTCCTGCTCGTCCCTCCCACTCTCCGCTCCACCATTGGAGGTCACGCTCTCCGCCACTACGCCTCAAAACTCTGGAACACTCTCCCTTAATCCCTCTGCGCTCTGAGACACTACCCTGCGTGGAGGGCGCCATATAAGTACAAGCTGTTGTTGTTTCAAGGTTTATCACTACACAACAAATCTATTTAATGAAACTGAGCATGTACCACTCCCCTGTTTGTAGCTCTCTCTCTCTCTCAGCTCCTGTTGCCACAAAATCCTAACTTCCCTGTTTCAGATGGAGTGTGTGTGAACCGGGTGGGGTGGGTGGTGGGAAAACTGGTTAACCACACCTGACCCCTGCTGAAAGCATCTTGCGCTATTTCACTGTCCCAATGGGGTTCAAACCATTACAATTCTTATTTTAGTAGTTCCTAAAATGAAAGAAAAAGGCATTTTTTCAATAAATGTTTAAAAAAAAAGCTTTTTATGAGATGATTGATCTCCTTTCCTCACCCCTCTTTGGTCTCTGATTGACAAGCTACAGATATACCATTAGGTGTTAATCTATACTAAAAGATGAAACCTCTGTCAGTCTGACAAGAACGCAATAACCGATTGATGTAGAGACTGGATTTATACCTCATCGGAATGGTCTTACATAGGGTAGTGTCATGGGCATATTTTTTGGAGGGATGTCTATCGTTGATGAGTTATATTAAAAAATATATTTAAAACAATGCTTTAATTAAGCCCCCAAACAGGTATGCATGGTACTCTGCAACAAAGTAGAAACAGGTCACACACCCGTCCAGAGAGATACATCTGTACTAATAAAGATGAA